GCCTTTCGGTGCGTACTTTGCGCGGTTGAGCGCGCAGTTTTGGCGGCGCCGACCGTGTGGGCAGGGTGTCCCGCTGCAGGGGTCGTTCGGCCGTCCGCGCCAGGGCGCCCAACGCCGCAAAAGAAAATGCCCTGGAACGCAAACTCTGCAATTTTTTGGTCACCCCTGAGCCGCCCCGAAGGCACTTTTAGAAAGAGGGGATACGTGTGCGCAGAATAAGGTGAACAAAAAGTGGCATGAACACAACACCTCGGAAAGGTACACGCGGATTTCTCGGATCGGCGCTGGACCCCCCCTCCCTGGCGCTCGGAGCGCGGCAACGGGCGGCGCCGGAGGCGCCGCCAGGGGGGTCCAGCGCGGATATGAGAAACCCGCGCGGGCCTCCGAGTGGTTCTCTTTAGGTCATGTATCGTTCCCCTGGATGCGCGTGCGTCGAGCAGGGGCAGGACGAGGGTAATCACCACCCACCAAACCACCCCAACCCAACCCGAAGGCTCAGATTTACCCTCGATTTCTAGTGGGGGGGGGTCCGGGAAGATCGAAAAAACACATATGGAGCCCATACACCCCCCAACCCGAAATTCGGGTCTTCGGGTTGGGTTGGGGTGGTTTGGTAGGTAGTCAGGTAAGGCAGAGGGCGAGGAGGCGAACCCCCTCTGCGCGGCCCGCTGGCCTGCGTCCGCCGTCCTGGGTCCCCCTCTCGCCCGGCGAGAGAGGTCGCGGCCCCGCCCCCCTGCCGCCGGGTGCCCAGCACAGTTCCCCCGCGGATGCTTCCAAGGCGCTGCCCGTCAAGGATTTAGTTTTTGTTTATGGTTTGTTGTTGTTGTTTTTTTGCTAGGTTTCTTCGTTTCTTTTGTTGCTGTTTTTGTTGTCCCCAGGAGGTCTCCACGAATTATGGTGATTGTTTTCCGAGGCTCAACGCTGGCGTCCAGTTCGCAGCGTGGTGCTGCTGACACGGCCCTCCGCGGGGCCTTGAGGCAGCGGGCCCTGAAATGTGAGGCTCCGCTGCCTCAGGGGGTGAACGGGAAGGGGCCCTTCGTTGGGCAAGAAGGCTAGAACCCGGAGAATCCCGATTCAGGGCGTTCCAGAACGTTCTCGGAGCGTTCTGGGACGCTCCGAGAAGGCCGCGGCGCCCGAGACCTCCTCCAGATGCACCGGGTCTCAGAGATTCTGGATTTGTCCTCACCCAGATGTCTCTTCGCCGTTGCTCCGTCATGCGCAGGCTCACTGAAGGCAGAGGGTTTATCCACGACTACGTGCCCCGAGCGGCCCAAATATATCCGTAGCCGCCACCCGCTGGGTCCCCATGACGTCCTGTAGTATCCGCCACCCGCTGGGTCCTCCTCCTCCTCCTCCTTCCTCCTCCTCCTTCTCCCCCTCCTCTTTCCTCCTCCTCCTTCTTTTCCTCCTCCTCCTCCTCGCTCCTCCCTTCTCCCTTCTCCTCCTTCTCCTCCTCCTCCCCCTCCTCAGCCATTTCAGCCCAGGTGCGATGCAAGCTGGCTGATCCGTGGCACTCCATAGTAGGCCCGTCCTTCCTCGGCACATGCGCGCGTCGCAGGTAGGTTGGTGGCTGGCCGCCACAATGCAGTTTCCTGTCACCATTGGGACATCTAATCCGTTGGCTGCGAATTCCTGGGGCCGACTTCAAGAGATTGCTGCTACTACTCCGAACTTCGACGTTCTGGCCTTGGTGGGCACAAAACAAAGGACCACCCGCGGCACTACCACTCGGCGGAGGCGCATTGGGACGAGGACTCTCCATGAAGCT